GAGGGATATTAAGAAGGACAAAGAAAAAAGGATCGACAGAGGAAGAAAAGTATTAAAGGAAAGCATAGTAGAACGGCATAAGAAGAGGATCAAACCAGTGAACAATGGGTTTTCTGGTGTGTACTAAAACATTTTCTCACAGATATCATGTCAGCAAGCGCAAACGTTGTGAAGTAAGACAAGTCAGTGTGGATGGTGGGATAACAGAAGGAAGAAAATGGGAGGTTGAGCATCTAGTGCTCTGAACAGTCAGGCCTGAGGACAGAGGAGAATATGGCCTAATTTTGCCAGGAGAGGAAAGATGAGATGGACATTGAAGCGAAAATGGCCATAAGGTGATAAAAAAAAGCTCTAACAAAACAAGTAGTTTCAGCCAAGTGGTGTCTTTGGCTCTGGTTGCACTGATAATGCGTTATGTGTTCCAATAATGCAAGGACAGCCCTTGTTAATTTGCTGTTCTCATCTTCAGTCAGCTGGTTACCGACACTTCTTGCTACTGACCAGTGTTTAGCCATGCTAGAAAAATGGCGGTAGAGATAGATCTGCCTGTTGGTCAGTCCACCATCTTGGTTTAAAGTGAAATAGCTCAATGACTATTGGAAGGATTGCCATGAGCTCTTGTACGAACATCTGACCTTTTTATACATTGCTACTGTGAGGTTGAACTTATTTTTGTTGAAATATCTCGACCATTACTGGATTGCCTTGAAATCTGGTGCATTCATGATCCCTAGTGGATGAATTTTAATATCTTTGATCACCATTTTCTCTAGTGCAATCATGAGGCCAGGGTTATGAAAGAATGTCAGAGCTAATGACATTCCCATCAGTCTCAGCTGGACTGTTTATTGCTAATGAGCAAATATTAGCATGCTAACAAGCTAAACTATGACAATGAACATGGCAAACACTACAGTATATCTACTGTACTAAGCATACACATGGTCTATGTTCCAAACAGTGACATTGTGGCTAGAGACACTGTTCTGGTCCTAACTAACATACAAACATATATGTGTGTGTGTGTGTGTATAGTTGTAACAGCCACACAATCAATTAACACTAATGTAGCCTGCAACAAAAGCTTTGCTCGGTTCAGCCAGATACTAATACAATCACAGGAGCCAAGAGCTTCAAAGAGTGAAGCCATGTAAAAACAATTTGAGCTGGAGAGAAGAGACGAGGCCAGAGGGTCAAAGCAGCCATTAAGGAATTAGAGCTGAGGATTGATCACAGCCTGCTTAAGTGGACTTTGTCTCCAATAGAAACCACTGCCGTTTCTTTGTTTTGGGGTTTCTGGACAACCAGTAGTGACAGGGTGAGGCTTCCACGAGTGTGTTTATTATGGCTACTAGTTAGAAGTGCCATATGTACAATTTTCATGTTAAGGGTAATTTAGTTTAATCAAGAAAAAGATTATATTGAGAAACACTACCATGATGCGATAAAAATTGAAACATGGAAGTGAAATATTGCTACCTGAACATCAGCCACCAATACTTTAAGAACACTAATGAATCCTTTCTGAAACATGAACTATTTCCAAATGATTAACATTTAAAGACTCCTATCTTCAACACAAATCTAAATTGCCTTTAACCCTCATGAGCTCTGGGGTGTTTTCATTTATTCAAGTACAAGCTGTCTTTCTGGTCTGTTCAGCTTTCAAGGAATATCTCTGTAGTTTCTACTTCCTGGTACTTGAAAGCAGGCAGGTGTCAGATTACAGTGAGATAGAGGTCAGGTGAGAAAACAGAGATGGAAACAATATGGTGCAACCCATGTAGCAGTAATAACAACTGTTAAAACAAAAAAAATAAAGCATTTCTGAAGAAATTTTGAGTGGCTGCTGCTCAGTGCTCATCAGGATGTCTGTGGGTATTTGACAAGTGGATGTGAGGAAGCACTACATGGTATCCAAAAGGTAGCATGAATATATCTGAAGCAGTAAGGGTGGCATTGACAGTCATACTACCACCTCAGGCAGATGAGCACATCTATGCACATGACCAGTACAAGCATTAATTAATTTAATTAAGGTTTTTGGGGTAATTCTAAGGGATCATGACCCCCACAGCCTGTCTCAGAACATTCTGCACAGTAGACAGTTTTCTATGTGAACATTTTTTCATTTGTCAGTTGCAATTTTTATATACCATTTACTTTTAGCATATCCCTACCAAAACCTGTTAATACACCAGCCCTGATCAAACTGCACATTTTGACTGATAACATTTTTTGCATGGGTCTTCTCAAAGGTGCAAGATGAGTTGGGCTAAATGGCAAATAAATATAAAAGAATAAATATTGAACTATCGGGAATTTGTCTTCTTTGTGTTGCACAGTGAGCACGTACGCAGACAGCACACAAAGTGCAGGAAAGTTTGTTAATAGGGTCTAGATAATTACACAAGATTCTGCACAATAGGGACTAGCCTGAAAGCTGATTAAATGTGTGGGAAGATGAAAATTCACCATTTGCATCAGAAGTAAAACATACTATGGGTTGTTATTAAAGTAATGAGTCATCCTTAGACAATTTGAGCATGCAACAAAAAACACTTATGTAATGACTGAGCACAAAATTAATGCTCATGTATTTTTGCAGAGACAGTGGAAAATGTCTTTATACCTATAAAACCTGGAAATGCACATTAAGGACATGTTAAATATCAAAGTTTTTATCCACAGAATAAATGAATTTAGTTCATTATTTACCATTTCCTCTCCTTGCTCTAGTCAACCCAGGAAAAAAATAATTACCTTGAATTACTGAACTGCTTCTTCACCCATCCATACAACAACAACAACAACTTTGAACAGCCTCATGCCTTATCACAGACCACGATGTGGCGACACTTCAGAAAACATTTTTGCAACAACCTAAAGAACCATACACTGCAGCTCATTTGTCTATGATCCATTGGAGTGTTTTCTGAATTAGCCACCAACCTATGGGGAGGACTATTTTTCCAGACTTTCTAAACTGTGTTGAAAATTAATATACTGGATAATACAATTCAAAGCAAACAATCTGTGTATTCATTCTTTTGTAGCTTTGTTTTAAATCGATACATGATTACAAAAAGGCCGTGAAC